GATGAATGTTCTAAAGCTCTAAGTCGAAGGTTCTAAGTCGAACCTTCTAAGCGACTCTCCAGGGTCGAGGGAGATCCGCTTGATGGGCATCATCGTTGTCGCTGATGGCCTACATCTCGTTCCCGATCAGCGTCATCGGATTGTCCTGGGTAGACGCGTACCAGATCAGCGTGAGACGTAACCGATCTCTCGTGGCGGTCATCCACGATCGCATCACGTCCAACATGGACGTCGAAGGGAGCAACGCCGCAATCGACTTCGCAGCCAACTCCGCGATCGCCCTGCACGCCAGCGGCCTCAAACATCACATCGTTGTGGACTCCGGCGCATCGGCGCACATGACCGGTGCCGCACACCACCTCTTTGACACGTCAACCTGTGATCGACGAGTGGTCGTCGCCAACGGCCGGAGCACCGTTGGCGACAGGAAAGCCCAACATAAAGACATCGTGCGGAAAGGACATTACCGACGTGCTCTTGATCGAAGGGATGCCAATGACTCTGCTATCCGTCCCAGCGCTAATGAAGGCAGACTCAGAAGTGAGTGTCCAGTTCAAAAACGACTCATGTACTCTCTTCAGCGACCGAGCTAAAGTTGCCACCGCTTACCTGTCACCTGACCAACGACTGTACGTCTTGGACGGCACTTGCTCGACGGATCGCGTCAACGTCGCCATCACCGACGCCACCACCCTCTGGCACAACCGAATCGGACACTTGCCCGCCGACGCCTTGAGCGCCTGCGCCAAGGCAGGACTCGGGATCCCTCCGGGACTGCAGACCTCACCGCTGGTGGGCTGAAGCCGTCAACACGGCCACCTTCATCTGCAATCGCATCCTCCTCACGACAGCATGTATCAAAACACCGATCGAACGATTCAGCGGCCACGTACCAACAGTGACCAACATGCGCGTCTTCGGCTGCAAGTACTTCAACATTGTCAAGGGTCCCGAACGCCACAACAAGCTGGCCCCTGAGGCACCATCGGCCCCAACGCGCGCATCGTCCCGATTCCGCAAACCCAACCGCGATACCTGAACTTTGCAGCAAACGCAGCTGAACGACCCGTGGACACTTCACTAGAGGGCTACCATCAAGAAGAAATCCAAGAAGACAGCGCCACCTACCGCATCGGCAACATGGAATTCGCGTGTGCCACAGTCACCATCCAGCTGCATCCCGTCCCCAACAGTCACAAGGAAGCGATGGCCTCCCCCGAGTGGCGCCACTGGAAAGCCACCGAAGAGACCGAAGTCGCACAGCTCCTGAAACTACAATGCTGGACAATCAGCGAACCACCCCAAAGACGGTAAGGTCATCGGCGGCAGATGGACTTACGCACGCAAGACAGACGCGGAAGGCAACGTCGTACGATGGAAAGCACGCTGGGTCCTCAAGGGATTCAACCAGATCGCAGGCGTCGACTACGACGAGTCGTCGTCCAACGTCATCAAGATGACGTCAGTCCGCGCAATCTGCGCCGTCGCCACCGCACGCGACATGGTCCTTGAACAAGCAGATTCCGTCAACGCCAATATTCAAGCCAAGTT